CAATGAGAAAGAGATCTAGGAGTCTTAGGAGACTACCAGATGGAACTGAGTCAACAGTGTGATGCAGCAGCAGAAAAAGCCAATGGGATTCCAGGCTGGATCAACAGGAATAGATTGAGGGAAGGAATTGTTTGCGTTGGTCAGACCTCACCTGAAATAACCAGAGTCTCTCTCAGGAGGGCTTTGATGGTGTCTTCTTGTCTGGCCGAAGAGGGCTGGACTGGGTCACCTCTGGGGTCCCTTCCAACTCTGTGATTATATGGTTCTAAGCTCTCATGCCTGGGTCTCACCTCCTTTGTTCTTCTGCAGGAGGACCATCTGTGGACCAAACACCATTGACGTGGAGATCACCCCGATTTGGAAGCTGCTCTTCAAAGAGGTATTGTTGCCTAGCTGTGGTCAGAAACCCAAACCATTGTCTCTTTCGTCCTTCAAGAATGAAGCTGAGGATCACGTGCACATTCAGCACCAGCGTGTTTTTGGTGCACATGTTCATGCAAAACCTTATGCGCTGTGTTCTCAGTCAGCTCCTTAGCACCCAGGCAGAACATTCAGTCCTGGGCCAGGCCTCCCACAGTCGAGACAACATTTCCAAATGAGGATCTTTCTCAGTGGATCTCTTAATTAAAGCCCATCTTGCCAAGGGCTTTGCTGGGCTGGCCAACTCTTGAGTTTCTCATGAACAATTTATGGATCTTAAAATGTTCTTTAATCTGTTTTCAGTGGGACAAAGTATCTCAGGTACTTTCAGAGAAAGAAGTAGACACACAGACTCCAGTACTAGGTTTTAAAATAGCTATATATTGGTTAAACAGACAGGGGCAGCTCAACCCATTACGCAAAGTAAGCATTTGCAGTATAGTTGTTCAGGAGCAGAACTCTCTGCCTTGGAGTCCAATGGACGCTTCTTCCTTGGAGGCTTTTAAATGGGCCATCTGTCAGAAGGGCTTCGATTGTGCTTTTCCTGCCTGATATCAGAAAGGTTGGACTAGATGGCCCTTGGGGTCTCTTCCAACCCTAT